GACCTTGAGTAACGCACAGTATTGTACTAGATGAGCCTATGGTCTGTCTCACTAGAAGACAGATTTGTACGTTCAGAATTGGCATGAAACGATGCAGATATCATCTCGGGGTGGAAGGAAGTGATCGGCAGGAAGGTTTGACTCTGTCTGGAGGGGGGGGTATATCGCCCCACTGCTTAAATGTGGTCTGTGGCATAAGCTCCTTTTATCTGGTACAAGAGGTGAGTGGCATAAGGAAATTGCCACGTACGGCATTGGGCTGCTACTTTTTGTGCTGTGCCAAGCAGTTCCTCATTGTCACCAGTCTGCATATGAGGGATGCCTGCCTGTATGCGCGTGTGTTGTACAGGTTACGGTTGAACATACATTGTGACTGAGACAGGTGCAGAGGGTTTACCCATCTTGATGTCAGCGGGGTGGGGGTGGGGGGTTGCACATTGGCTGTTTGAACTGAATGGTACCCAATGAGTGCTGAAGAATCCGAATTATTCAAAGATACTTCATCCTTGACCTAATTCTTAGCACGGGAACCGTCCGTATTAGCTACAGTCACGGACTAACCTTAATGCGCCTTTGTAGATGTTGCCAGGTTGCATGCCATTCTCCATTGTCACTTGGGAAGGATGCGGCACAGTGTATGGAATCCAGTATTGTTTTATGCTTGTTCTTTGCACGTACGCATGTGAATGTTCATGAACCCGTGTTCTCCGTTCAGCTTGCCTTGTGCCACTTTGAGAGTTGTGGCTGTACACAGTTTTGCTAGCAAGGGCGGCACAACTTTAATCACGGCAAGTGTGTTAACGTTGGCCCGCAGAACAAGAGCTGGTTCTGCTCCAAACAAAAGTAGCAGTCTTCTGTAGCTTTTCCTGCATTCTCCATTTCACATTTGACGTCTTTTGAAAAGCCTTGAGTAGTATTGGCTGACGCTTGTAAGAGACTTCTTGGTTTGCGTTTTCATTTAGGGGCTCTGCTGCTGGGGTCCCGTTTGTGTCTGGGAAGTGTCACCCACGCCAGCCAAGCACACAGGTTGAGTTTTTATAGGGATTAGATCATGGCATTGATTCCAGGAGAGGACCGCCCCTTTTTTTGTGGGCAGTTGAGCTATGTTTATTCTGACTCCAGTTTCAAGCGGCCAGTGAGGAACACCTCCAGTTCTCTTGCAGCTTGAAAGAGGCAGCGCCTCCCCCCCCCCCCGCTTCCCCTTTGGGGGGGCAATTGGAAACGGTGGTGTTTCAAAGCAAAAGGAGAGGAGATTAAAACCACATGCTGCGCTTTAGCTCTGCGTTACACCTGCTAGTTTGAATATCGTCTGCTCTAGTTTTTGAATGCCAGCCAAGTTCATTACACTGCGGAATTATCTTGGTGTGTGCTTTTACTGTCTTAATTATCTCAACACGGCCATATAGATTCAGATTTTAAAAAGAAATGGATTGTTTTAATACGGCTTCAGTGTTTTTAAGGGCTCTGTCTCATATGCTTTTCTCTCAGGTGCGTTTTTTTCCAAACCCAGACGTGTTACCAGTAGTATTATGTTTGTTAATATCCAAAAATAGAATCGGATTTTTCTTTCTTTCTGATGGTAATTCTTTCCAAATAGTAAAGTCGGGGGTTTATGGTTCGTGTGTAAGTGCTGGTTTAAAAAGCACAGCTTTTTGTGTTTGGGGGGTACATCTGCACCAAGCGGCAGATATTCCATCGCCAGCCCTTCCTCGGGTGATGGGGAGTTGTTCTCTGAAAAAGGGTTCCTTGGAAGTTACAGTGAACGTGAGCTTGCAGAGATGGCTTCTGTTTGGGTCAGCCTTACTCTTTTGTTATGAAGCCTAAATAAACACACACAGAGAGAGACACACACAAACACACAACTGTCCCTCTGTTCCCCATGCTGAGGTGTTGCCATTGCTGGCTGTTGGTACCAGTTTGGTATAGTGGTTAAGTGCACGGACTCTAATCTGGGAGAACCGGGTTTGATTCCCCCCTCCTCCACTTGCACCTGGCTGGATGACCTTGGGCAAGCCCTAGTTCTGATAAGAGCTGTCCTTGAAAAAGGGCAGTTTCTGTCAGAGTGCTCTCAGCCCCACCCACCTCACAGGGTGTCTGTTGTGGGGAGGGGAAGGGAAAGGAGTTTGTCAGCCGCTCTGAGACACCTTTGGGTAGTGAAGGGCGGGGTATAAATCCAATCTCTTCTTCTCCTCTTCTTCTTCTTTTGCGCAAGTGCAAGTGTACATACAGAGTTGACATCAAAGCAGCTCTTGAGCGGGTGGGCTTTCGGGGTCATCGCCCTCATCCCCCGTCCCTTACATTAGTGGGAAACATAATATCATCAGCAGAGGCTGAGGTTCTTTGTGGTAGTTTGTGGTCGTGTTCCAGTACAGCCTCCTCTAACCCATTCTGGACGGTGCTGCTGCTACTTCCCTTTCCTGATTCAACTCCATCAACCTCCATTCCCTCTCTCGTCGGCGAACATAAGAGCTGCCTTGCTGGATCAGGCCAAGTTCTCTGTAGCCCAGCATTCTTGTTTCCAGAAGGGACCAACCGGATGCCGGGGGGTGGGTGGGTTCATAGACAGGGCATAAAAGTGGGGGCCGTCCTGAGAACGTTAAAAGATCCCTGTTGGATCAGGCCAGGGGTACATCTAATCCAGCATCTTGTTTCACGCAGTGGACAGCCAGTTGCCTTGGTGACCCAACAAACAGGGCACAGAGGCCCTGGGGTCTTCCCCTGGTGTGGATTCCCAGCACCAGGATTCAAAAGTTTACTGCCTCCAATTGTGGAGGTTCCTTTTCGTCATCATAGCTAGTGGCCACCGATAGATCTATCTTGTGCACATCTAATTCCTTGCCCTCTGTGCTCATGGCCATCCTGACACACCCTGGCCGTGAATTGCACACTTCAGTTACTCACTGAGGGAAGAACGACTTCCTTTTGCCCATCCTGCCTCTGTTGTTTTTAAACCGTAAGAGGGCCCAACCTTATCACACGGCAGCAAACTTTACAGTGTGATGTCCAAGTATATAATGCCTTCCGGATCACCCTTACGCAAAGGCCCGTTAACTATTTCAAAGCAGTCCAAAAGGTGGGTGAGGCAGGACTTCCCTGTCTTTCCGCCCTGTCGTTGCCTGATTCCCCCCCCCAGTTTCTGGTCCTCGGCAGAGTACTCCCTTGTCAGTGGAGGTTGCATGTAACTGTCAAGGCAGTAGCCATTGATAAACTCATTCTCCACAAATCTGCATGATCCTGTTTGATCTTGGCAAGGCTGTTCCGCTCAAGAGGCGGGACTGCAGTCCAGAGGCAGAGCAATAGAAGGCTCTCAGTCCTGGCAGCTCAAGTTGATTCAGGGTTCCCCATCATGGCGCCCATCAGTACTTCCCTTGGCACCTACCAAGCCTTTCGGGAATTGAGCGTGCCCATTGTATGGCCGGGCTTATTACTGGCTGCCCTCTTTCAAATGAAAGGGTTTTCTACTGGGTGATCAAGAGGACTAGTAAGCTGCTGGGCTTTCCTTAGTCGGGGCGTGGTTCCATTTCCCCCTCAGGCTGTCCTTCTTCCCAGGAGTTATGAGGAAGGAGGTGTTCTATTTTTGCCCCCCCCCCCAGGCAGCCGTTTTGGGTTTGGCTCCACCCCCTGAGGTGGCCATTTTGGGCCGGTGCTCACCACCCTCGCTCAAAATCCCCAAGGTTTTGCCAGCTCGGAAAGGTTGGGGACGCATGAGTTAAAGGATCTCAGGGAGCACGTGCTGGGAATGGTCTCCCTCTGCCTAGAACGGTGGACATCTGCCGGCAGTCAGTAGACAGTGCTGTCCCGGGTGGACCAGTGACCTGACTCTTTACAAGGCAGCCTTGCTTGTGTCTGTAATGTCCACTCCCTGTATAGTGGTTGAGCACCTCTTGGCTAAGAGCATCAAAACTGAAAGCTTTATTTTTTTCCCCTGTAGACCTACCCCCCCCTCCTCCCCTGTGATATCCAAGGATATTTTTACAGGGATGTGGTAACAGCAGCTTTCAGAGCATATCGAGGGCCACAGTACAAGAGGATTGTGTGTACGAGAGAGAGAGTGCCCGGCTGCCATTTTTGACAACACTGTGATTCTTTCCACTTTCGCAGGGGGAACTGATCACCTTCTATTACTACTGGAAGAAAACACCCGAAGCCGCAAGTTCCCGGGCTCACCGCCGGCATCGGAGGCAGGCTGTCTTCCGGAGAATTAAGACCCGAACGGCTTCCACGCCGGTTAACACTCCCTCCAGGCCCCCCTCCAGCGAGTTCTGTAAGTAGGAGGCTAAAAGCAGTGCATTTATCTCTGTTTAGTCGCACAGGGCCGCGGAGGAAGGTAATAGCTCTCCGCCTCTGACCGAACGCAGCCAGGAAAATGGAGTTCGAGCCCTCGCCTGCGCTCGCACTCTCTATTCATTATCCCCATGGATGGCGGGCGGCTGGGATCAGCAGGCAATTGGCTCACGCTGGTGGGAGGCAGTGTAGGCAAGGGGGGGGGGCTGCTGCGGAGAGATGGCCGGCTCGTTTAGGCTTATGTTTGTTCCAATTTGCATGGGAACATGGAGGTTTTCTCCCGTGCCGTCCTTTGCATGGGCCACAAGTGTGCGGCCCAGCAGTACAACGAGTGCCTCTTCCACCCGCGTCTGACGAACACATAATTCCTGATCTCATCTGCTGGTAGATTGCCGGGCTGAGTGTTTCAGAGGGTGGTCTTGTTGTCTGCGGTAGAACAGCTGGATTTGAGTCCAGTAGCATCTTAGAGCACAAGATTTTCAAGGTATGAGCGTTTGCAAGTTGAGGCTCCCTTCATCAGATACAAGTAGGAATGGAGATCCCCGAGTCCTTATATCCCAATCTGAAGGTGAGCCAGGTGTTGGAAAGAAAGGAGTCAGGATGCAGAGGTACAAATGCAGCATTGTACCTCTGCATCCTGACTCCTTTCTTTGCCATGAGAGCTTTGCAAAGCAAAGGGAGCGTTGACTCTCGAAAGCTCGTAACCCGCAGATCTTGTTGGTCTGGGCCGAGTGCGTTTGTTGTGATTCCGCAGGAGCGCGGAACAATACGGTATGCAGTTCTGGCTGCAGGGTTCTGCTTCAGGAAACTCGGCTTCCAAGTTCCTAGCTCTTAGGACTTCAGTGGTTTTTGCTGGAAAGTGCGCTTGCACGACTCCAGCTGTCTCTGAGGCCAGAAGGGCTCCTGAATAAAAAGGTTTCTAGTGTCTTGGGGGTCAAGACAGTGGGCTTAAGTTTGCTGCCCGGCATCCTGAGGACCAAAAACAAAATAAATGATACCGAATGAGAGATCACGCACATGATTTCTGGAGCATGCAGAATTCAACTTCTCCTTGGTTACGAATTTAGATTAACTAGTAGAGGCATTTAGGGTCCACGGTGGCTCAGTGGTTAAGACGCTGAACTGCAGACTGGAAGGTCGGTAGTTCAGCAGTTCGAGACCCGAGTGCCGCGTGACAGAGTGAGCTCCCATCTCTGGCCCCAGCTCCTGCCAACCTAGCAGTTTGAGAGCAAGAAATTGCAAGTAGATAAACAGGTGCCGCTTTGGTGGGAAGGTAACGGCGTTCCGTGCACCTCGGCGTCTAGTCATGCCAGCCACATGACCACGGAAAATGTCTTTGGACAACGCTGGCTCTTCAGCTTGGAAACGGAAATGAGCACCGCACCCTAGAGTCGGATTCGACTGGCTTTCGAGCAAGGGAGACCTTTAGCAGAGGCATTTCCCCCCTTTTTGAATACAGAGTATGCACCATGCTGAATGCACCTTTGGTAATAACTCCAGTTAGGGAGTCAGTATTAATTCCTGACAGTGTCATGTATTTTGTTGGGCTCAGCAACCCCTTGATCTAGTGCGGTGTGGGTGAGCTGAGACCATCCCCACAGGGTGCCTGTGTTTCTGGGACCCAGTGAGGTAACCTGCCCTTGGCCATGCCCATACATACCCAGGGCTGGCAGGCGACCCTGGCAGCAGGTTGGTCCGTGTGACAGACTGCTGGGGGTGGCCTGTCGCTCAGAAGTGGATCACAAGGTCCCGTCCCTGGCTAAAAGGATCCAGTTAAGATGTGCCTCTCAAACCCTGCTCTTTGCGTGACTAGAAGCAGGGCATTTTTCTGTGGTGGCCTCTTATCTTTGGAACACCTCCCCCTTGAGGCTCGCCAGGTGCCTGCCTGCCTGCACTACTACCCATGCTTTTAATGGGTGCTTTACCTTACCAGCTTTTAATGCTTTGCTTCTGTTTTATTTTAATTGTAAGCTGCCTCAAGCAGGACTTTGAGGAGGTGCCATAGAAATATCCTAAACAAATAAAAGAAGGGAACTGGGTGTCAGGAAGAGGCGCTGCCTGAGAGACACTGCCAGTCTGGACAGACCATGCCGGTGGGCCCGTGCTTTGATTCAATATAAAGCAGCTCCTTAGGTTTATCTGTGCCTCTCACTGCGGCCCAAAGCCGAGGCTCTGGATGCCTTGCACTAAATTAGCACTTTGGAGTCTGTTCCACAGTAACCCTCCTGGCCCATCAAGAGCTTTGCGTGTATTTGTGTAATCGATCCTGCTTCTGCTAGTCATGAAGGGGACCAAGGGAAGCCTTTGTGACCCTGAAGCCCCTTGACCTCTGGCAGACCTCAATAGCCCCCCCCCATTTCTTGAGACTTCCCTTGACACTCTCCTCAGCCTTTAACACCCACCCTTCCACCACCCCCACCACCTAATCTTCAGAGTTGCAGAGATGCCAGAAATCTCTGTCTTTGCCGTGAGTTGACAGGCTGCTAGATTCTGTGCTGAATGGCAGTACTGTTGCAGAATCGATCCACACCGTGTTAGCTAAAGCCAAGAGGGCCAGATGTCTCTTTTACTCCCTCCCCCTGTCAAGGGGGTACTTAGGAATCCAGAGTTATTTCTGTTTGGGAATTCTAACTCCAGTGCCCGGTGGTTTTTGAGTTGCCAATATTGCACACACAAAGAAGACAGCATGCAGACCTGCACAGTGGTGTGTGTGTGTGTGTGTGTGTGTGTGTGTTTGATTTTGGTGTTGAGCCAGAAAAGAACTTTGCCCTTGGCCGAAGGGTGCTCTCAAGCTCTTTCTGAGCCAGACCGTGACCAGTTTATGGAGTCCAGTGTGGAAGACTCCCAAGCTGCAGACAATCTCGTGTGTGAATGAGGAGTTTCTGAGGATGGCACAGCGGAAAAGCAAAGACAGAGAAACTTCCTCCCTTGGTGATTTGTTCTTTCCCCCCTCCCTTTTCTTTGTGAATTACAGTGGATCTGAGTTCAGCCAGCGAGGATGACTTCGACAGCGAAGACAGCGAGCAGGAGCTGAAGGGCTACGCCTGTCGCCACTGCTTCACCACCAGTAGGCATCTTCCTCTGTCTCCTCTCTCCTCGCCACCCCCACCCCCCCAAAAAAACCCGAGCACTTTCCACAGATTTTGACTGGATGGGTACATGTACTTGATGTCCCTTCCGCCATTTTGGAAGCACGATTCAAAAGTCCCTCGTTGTGGCCCTTGGAAAAGTCTTTCCCTTCTTGGCCCTTCTTCGCTTGCATTGCCAGGGCAAGACAAGGCTCAAAAAGGTTCAAGCATTCAAAGTGCTTAATGTTACCTTGATACAGCATTGCTGTGTGTGTGTGTGGGGGGGGTGTTTCAGTATTGTCTCCATGCTGTGGATGGAAAATAGGAGGCTGAGGCTGCGTCCCGAGCCGTGTTCCCTCTAAGCTGAGATAGTGAGAGCTAGCTCACAGTTTTTTAGCCTCTGGCTCACACATTTTTGTCTTAGCTCTGGAAGGATGGGGCTCCAGAACAAACTAATTTATTCAGTAGCCGAATCTCTCGCTCACAACTGTAGAATGCCAGTCGCTCCCAAAGTAGAATTTTTGCTCACAGGACTCCACAGCTTAGAGGGAGCATTGGTCCTGAGTTCCTCCTAATGATTCGCTGCACAGGTGAGATTTGTGCTACGAACTTCCCCCGTCCTACATTGGCTTGTGAACTGAGACCACGACTTTTTGGCCATTGTGTCAGTTCATTTCCGTTTGTATCCTGCTGTCAGATGGAGGCAGTACAGGAAACAACCCCCCAGAATACATACAAACCCCCCCATATTTTTCAAAACTTAAAAAAAAAATTAACAAACTGCAGCTGGATTTTAGGTGTGTATCTCCAGCCTGTTTTGGGAAAAGAAGCAGAATTTAAGACAGTAATGGATTCTGCACATTCCAAGTTGCGCTTTGGCCTACGACAACAACCCAGTTTGCTCGCCTTCTCTTTCCACCGCAGCCTCCAAGGACTGGCACCACGGCGGGCGGGAGAACATCTTGCTGTGCACCGACTGCCGCATCCACTTCAAGAAGTACGGGGAGCTACCGCCCATCGAGAAGCCGGTGGACCCACCCCCCTTTATGTTTAAGCCTGTCAAAGAGGAAGAAGATGGACTCAGCGGGAAGCATAGCATGAGGACACGGCGTAGTCGAGGCTCGGTAGGTCGCTTGCCACCTTCCCCGCTGTCCCGTCCTCTTGTGTCCTAGGGGGAACTCAGAACTGTAAGCCTGGTCCGTAGAGATGGGTGCTGTTCTGACCAAGTACTGTCTTACAACTTGCCTTTGTCACCGTTTTGTGTGTGTGTGCGCGCGCATGCAACGGTCACCCCAAAATACTCTTTGAGGAGCATAGGCTTGATTCTGAGCAAGTCCTTTCTTACATCTCGCATCTGCCGTGTGTGTGTGTAGCAGTCAACCCAAAATACTATGTGAGGAATGTAGGCTTGGTTAGATGTGAACTTCCAAGCATGGAAGGTGCTGTATTGGCGAGTGAAGCCACTTCCCAGCCAGCACCTGTAGCAGACCAAAGATTAAACTTCTGAAGAGGTGCAGAGAAGCCAGTCAGCCTGGCGAGCACGTCCCCAGGAGCTGTGGCTGCCTGTGCAGAGCCAGTTTGATTCCCCACTCCTCCGCACACAGGTGCTGGTGTGACCTTGGGTCAGTCACAAGTTCTCTCAGAGCTGTTCTCTCAAGGGCAGTCCTCGAAAGAGCTCTCTCAGCCCCACCTGCCTCACAGGGTGTCTGTGGTGGGGAGGGGAAGGGAAAGGAGATTGTGAGCCGCTCTGAGACTCCTTCGGGTAGTGAAGGGCGGGGTATAAATCCAATCTCTTTTTATTCTTATTGTTCAGGAGGGTTGAGCCCAAACAGTGGGCCATCTTAGTTGTCCTCTTTGTAAGCTGTGAAAAGGGGCTCTGCCTCAGGCCTTCCTGGAAAGGGCATGCTTGACCACTGACCCCTAGCCTCTTCCTACACGGAATCTAGAAGTATTTTTGGGGGGTGTACAGCAGGAGCTGCTTGTGCAAAACAGGCAGGCAGAAGTGGGAAGGTTGTGTACCTTTTAGGGGCGTCTTCTCGTGCAAGCTGATTGGTTGGGGTTGCTAGGCAGCAAGACTCCTCCCCTGTCTCCTTGGCCATCCTAACCTCTCTTCGGTTGCACTTGTGTTCCCATTGCTGCCAAACACCTTGTAAAGTTGCTCTTTCAGTTCTTTGACACAACTTCATCATTTTTACAGTCTCCAGCTATCCAAACAGCTGCTAAATTAGGAAGGGAGCAGACGACAACAGTGTTAATTGTTGCCGTGTAATCTTGCCCCTGCGGAATGTGCTGAAACTTGAAGGGGGACTTTGGGCTGCCTCTGCCTTTCTCTGCAGATCTGCTCTTCTTCCCCATCATCTCGGTTTAGTTCAGCAAATCTTTTTTTATTTCTCATCAAGTGACCTTTTTTTTAATGAGGACTAAATTGTAAGGGGTACGGCAGCCCTTGGTTTTAGCTGATCAGATTCTGAAAAGAGCTGCAAAGCACGGATAGATTGAAACATCAAAAAGGTGGGGGGGGTTTCTCCTTTTTATTTTTAGCCGCTTTCTACTTGGAAGCGAAACTCAGAGCTTCATTTGACAGGGCCGAGGTTTTGAAATAAATGTTCTTTGTAGGACCCTGAGATTCAGAGAGAAGGACAACAAAGATCTTGTTCTGTGTCAGCCTGAAGGCTGCCAAGCTGGGAGTTTTGCTCTTAGTGGGGGAGAAAATCACACAAGATTATATTAATCGGCTTATAAATAAATAAATTACTAGTGGCTGGTGATAGTCATGGTGTGTGTGTTGAGCCAGTTTGGTGCAGTGGTTAAGTGTGCAGACTCTAATCTGGGAGAACCGGGTTTGATTCCCCACTCCTCCACATGCTGGATAACTTTGGGTGAGCCATAGTTCTGTCAGAGCTGTTCTGGAAAGAGCAGTTCTGGAAAGAGCTCTCTCAGCCCGGCCTACCTCACGGGGTGTCTGTTGTGGGGAGGGGAAGGGAAAGGAGTTTGTAAGCCACTCTGAGACTCCTTTGGGTAGTGAAGGGCGGGTGTAAATCCAATCTCCTCCTCCTCCTCGTCTTCTTTTAGTAACATAGTTACACCCTACATCAGCATGGTGTAGTGGTTAAGTGTGGCATCCTTGAATCTGGAGGGCTGGGCTTGATTCCCCTCTCCTCCTCCCCCACATGTAACCTGCTGGATGACCTTGGGCCAGTCACAGTTCTCTCTGAACTCTCTCAGCTCCACCTACCTCACAAGGTGCCCGTTGTGGGGAGAGGAAGGGAAGGTGATTGTAGGCAGCTTCGAGACTCCTTAAGGTAGAGAAAAGCAGGGTATAAAATCCAACTCCTCCTCTTCTTCCTCTTCCTCCTCCTTGTAGTACCCTTGAAAGTAGTTGCATCTCCCTGTTGAGTTTTATCTTGTTCTGGGGCAGCAGCCGGCGGCACATGTGCTTTTTTTGAGACCCATCCAGTCCTCCCAGAAGATTCCTGAAAGAGTCTGTTGCTGTACCGTAGCTTTCTGCTTCTGTTAGCTGATTTCTTGGGGTATGGTAGAACAAACAGGGAGGAAAGAGTATTTGCTGTATTCTGAGAGGTTTTTGATAGGAAATTTTATTTATTTATTTATTTATTTTTCATATTCATATCCCGCCCTCCCCACTGGGCTCAGGGCGGCTCACAAGGGCAAGGTAAAACCGAGCCATAGTTCAAACATATGATACATAATAAAAACATCCAGCATTAAAACAGTGGTGCTCAACCAATTACTAAACGTAAATCCAAGATGGCTCAGCTCAGTTCTTCTCCAGGATCTTCTAAACATTCCCAAGTTCTTCCTCAGGGCCTCGCCAGGACGTCCTTTAGGTGCAGTGACGGTGATGGTATAGTGGGGCAGCGGCTCCTACTCAAAAGCCTGGCGGAAGAGCTCCGTCTTGCAGGCCCTGCGGAACTGCATAAGGTCCCGCAGGGCCCGGATCTCCCCCGGGAGCTCATTCCACCAGGTAGGAGCCGCCACCGAAAAAGCCCTGGCCCTGGTCACAGCTGATTTGGCATCCTTGGGGCCCGGGATGTCCAACAGATTTTGGGCCCCTGACCGTAGTGCTCTTGGGGGAACATGTGGGGAAAGGCGGTCCCTCAGGTAGGCTGGACCCACTGTCACTCCTACCGGTGCTTTAAAAAGGCACCTGACTATGAAAAGATCAAGGGAGGGCTTCACTGGGATCCGTTGCAAGGGAAACGCAACCACCATTTTGCCCCCCAAAGCCGGCAAGGCCCATACGTGGCAGCCTTTGTCACACTGCCTACATTTCTGTGTCCACCAGCAGATGTCTACACTACGCAGTGGTCGTAAGAAGCAGCCCACCAGCCCCGATGGTAGAACCTCCCCCATCAACGAAGACATCCGGTCCAGCGGCCGCAACTCTCCCAGCGCTGCCAGCACTTCGAGTAATGATAGCAAAGCGGACTCTGTGAAGAAGTCCACCAAGGTACATTCTGACCGCTCCAAGAGATGCTCGTGGGCCTATTCCGACATTGGCCAGATAAATCCGTGGAGGGTCGGGTCGCTGTGCTGAATGGCACAGAGGAACCTCCTCCATGTTGTGAGGAAGCCTGCCTCTTGAGTGCCGGGAAGGGCAGAGATGTGGGTGAGCGTGGAAAACAGGATGGTGGCCTAGTTGGGACATAATGGTGGTTCTTCCTATAACTCACATGGGATGGAGAGACACCACTGCTTGGCTGAATGTGGATGTCTGTTAAGCGCATGAATCTGCTGCCCAGTAACTCCACGGTTGTTCCCCCCCCCTCCCTTAACATGGTCTTCCTTTCTGCTTCTCATGTGTGGTAGAAAATAAAAGAGGAGGCATCATCTCCTCTCAAGAGTTCCAAGCGGCAGCGAGAAAAGGCAGCGTCTGACACGGAGGAGCCTGAAAGAATCAACGCCAAAAAAACCAAAACTCAAGTAAGTCCCACAAGGAAGTCTTCTGGCTTGGGTATGACCCCTTTTCATTTGGGCAGCAGGCTGGGAGCCAAGCATTATTATTATTTTTTTGGCAGGGGCAGTCAGTAAGGAGAACAAAACCCACCCCGGCAGGGTTGCTATACCTCACCCTCCCTAACCCAAAATGGGTTTCCTAAGGCTGGCCATACACAAATTTCCTGCCCAGGGTTATCACCGAGGACAGAAGCCCATGTCTCTGGGTGTTGCCCTCGAGCATGTGTGAATGGGTCACTCTCCCCAGTACAGCTGATGGGTTCTTGGGGTGGGGGTGGGGCAGGTTTCCTTCCCCCTCAGAGACGAGCTCCAGCGGGAGGCAGGTAAGCCCCGACCCCCCGAAACACAATTCACCAAGGAGTTCTTTTACCCAGTGAAACAGCCCTGTTCTCCCGCTGCTTCTGTTTGATGGGGCAGTCTCAGGAGACCTTCCCACAGGATTCTGTTCAGTGTTGAGTGGTTCAGAGCATACCTGGATTTGCTGTTCGGGGCACTCAGGTGCGCCTGAACAGATTCCCCATTCCGCATCCGCTCAGGATGGCCACCAGCTGTCCCGCAGCGATGCCCTGATTCTTAAGAGGTGCTCTTCCCCTTTCCTTCCTCCGCCCCCCCCCCCAGGAGATCAGCAGGCCCAACTCCCCATCGGAGGGTGAAGGGGAAGGGGAGAGCTCCGACAGCCGCAGCGTGAACGATGAGGGCAGCAGCGACCCCAAGGACATCGACCAGGACAACCGGAGCACCTCGCCCAGCATCCCCAGCCCCCAGGACAACGAGAGCGACTCGGATTCGTCGGCCCAGCAGCAAGTGCTGCAGACGACCAACGGCCCCTCCTCCCAGCCCCGGCGCCCCCTCATTCCCACATCCAGCAGGGCCCCGCCCTTCACCCCCAGAGGCTCCCTTCACCTCATCCGCCCCTGCAGCCTCTGGCCGTGCCCCAGAGCCAGCCCCCGGTCCCCGTCGCCTCTCAGCCGCACCAGCAGCCTCCGCTCCACGGGCAGATCCAGGCGGTCCCTCACGGCCTCCCCGGACAGCCCCTCCTGCCTCACCCGGCCTCCTCTCAGCCTTTCCCTCTCCCGCCTCCGTCGTCGTCCTCCGCTCAGTCTCAGGTTCCCCTGCAGCCGCCCCACGCGGCGCTGCAGGTCCCGGCAGCCCACCCCCCCGATCCCTCAGCTCCCCACCCCGGCGCACAAGCATCCCCCCCACCTCTCGGGGCCTTCGCCGTTCTCCATGAATTCCAACCTGCCGCCCCCGCCCGCCCTGAAGCCGCTCAGCTCCCTCTCGACGCACCACCCGCCCTCCGCGCATCCGCCTCCCTTGCAGCTGATGCCGCAGAGTCAGCCCCTGCAGCCTTCTCCGGCACAGCCCCCCGTCCTGACGCAGAGCCAGAGCCTGCCTCCCTCGGCCAGCCACCCCTCCTCCGGCCTCCATCCAGTCCCTCCACAGCCCCCTTTCTCCCAGCACCCCTTTGCCCCCGGGGGCCCGCCCTCCATCACGCCGCCCTCTTGTCCGTCAACTTCCACGCCACCTTCTGTGCCTGGCATCCCGCCTCAGGCCGCGGTCTCCACGTCGGCGGCTTCCTGCGGAAACGTCCCGGTGGTGGCGTCATGTACGATACCTCCCATCCAGATCAAAGAGGAGGCCCCGGACGAGGCCGAGGAACCGGAAAGCCCGCCTCCCCCGCCCCGGAGTCCGTCGCCAGAACCGACAGTGGTGGATACACCGAGCCACGCGAGCCAGTCGGCTAGGTAAGGAGGACGGGGGCAGATCCCCTCCGCTCACCTTGGTGGGGCTTGCCGGCCGGGGTCGCTCTTGCTCTCACCTGGTGGGGGTTTTGCCTTCCGGAACAGAGGGTTGTGGGTAAAGGTTTACCCCTTGTAGGAATGCAGCGTTCCCTCAGCGGGGCTTGTCTAGATGGAGACTCTCGTGGCCGGGGTCGAGGGCGGTGAGCCCCCGCAAAGCAGGCGTGCCTCCGCATCCTGGGCCTCCTCACAAAAACTGTCAGATGTGTCCAGGAAATGCCGCGATCCTAGAGAAGAATCAGTCTCATGACGCAGTTTCCATAGGCTTGAAAGGAGGAAGCGACAATTCCCCCCCCCCCTTGGAGATGCTGCTAACTTCAAAAATGGTTTAATGTTTTGTCCCTGACCTGGATAGCCCAAGCAAGCCCCATCTCATCAGGTCTCGGAAGCTAAGCAGGGCCGACCCTGGCTAGTTTTTTTGGGATGGGAGACCTCCAGAGAATGTCAGGGCCGGGAGGCAGAGGCAGGCTACCAAGCCACTTCTCAAGCATGGACGGCTTCAAGAGGGAATTAGATAAGCATATGGAACAGAGGTCCATCAGTGGCTATTAGCCACAAGGTATAGATAGGGACTCTGGGGCAAGGGATGCTCTGTCATCTTGGTGCTTGGGGGGGGTCAACAGTGGGAGGGCTTCTAGTGTCCTGGCCCCACTGGTGGACCTCCTGATGGCACCTGGTATTTCTGGCCACTGTGTGATACAGAGTGTTGGACTGGATGGGCCTTTGGCCTGATCCAACATTGGCATCTCTTATGTTTTTATGTTCTCTGAACATCCTCCATGCCCCAAGTAGGAGTCGCCAGAGGTCACTGTGACTTCCAGGCACAGGCACACAGGCACACACGCAAAATGTTTAAAACAAAAAAAAAAATGGTTCAATGTTTGATTCCTTGCCATTTGGTAAGCAAAAACCTCTGCTGTTTCAGGCTGCTTCTCAACAGCTTACCCTGTCTTTCTTTTTAACCAGGTTTTACAAGCACCTGGATCGTGGCTACAACTCGTGTGCGAGAACGGATCTCTACTTCATGCCGCTAACAGGCTCCAAACTGGCCAAGAAGCGGGAGGAGGCCATCGAGAAGGCCAAGAGGGAGGCGGAGCAGAAGGCAAGAGAAGAGAAGGAGAGGGAGAGAGAGAAGGAGAAGGAGAGGGAGAGAGAGCGGGAGCGTGAGAGAGAAGCAGAAAGAGTGGCGGTAGGTTTGTCTGTCTGTCAGTCAGCCCCAAGGGTCTTCCAGACACGTTCCAACGTAACCGAGACCCTGATTGCATGCAGTCCCCTGGTGTTTTCACAGGGCAGTGCGAGGACTCCACGGGGATTAAGCGCCTACATTAGGCAGTCCGAGGCTGCCATTTTTCCCCTGCTGCCTTGCAAACCTTTGGTCCTCTCCTGCATGCGAAGGGCTTCCTCTTTGCTCCCAAACAAGGAGCGTCAGGCTGCCGCTTGATGCCCAGGTTCAGGAAACGGATGGTGGCGGAGAAAGAAGGGGCCTGTGTTGGGGGCACGTAGGTCTGGATCCCCATGCAAGGCTTCCAGTCGTGCCATAAGGGTTCCAGACTTCTGCTTCCCTTCTTAAAAATCTTATCATGGTTCTTTTCTTTATGTCAGTTGTTTTCAGAAATTTGCTCCAGCGCCTGTTATGTGTGATAATTAACAGCAGCTCCTCCTGGGTTGCTCCCACCAGTGTACCGGTATCTAGAAGCTCTGATACTTTCAGAAAGAAATCTGGGGGCTGCAGGGGTCCCTGGCTCCTTTGGGGGTGTGGCAAG